GTAGAGACAGTAACAATGGAACTTTTAATCTCGTTCAGTTCACTTAATTTCTTTCGGTATTTAGAATAGAAAGAGAGACCCCACACGTCGATGAAGTCTAACATACTCTGAACATGCCTAAGCAGGGTATAATTACCTCAGTCTGTCAGACTTTGTAGCAAATCCGTTATTATGATTAAATACAATCGGGGATAGTGTGAAAATATTTCTGAACTGAGAAACTGTACACTGAGGAAGCCTGCAAAGAAATTTCATGTCACCATGCATAATGTTGAGTTCATTGTGGTAGTTGAAATAATGTTGTATTAACATAATTAATAATTTGTTATTTTTTTTTAAATGAGCATTAGTTTGTGTTCAAGATTCATTCTTTGTGTGAGCTTGCTCTCTCCTCACGCTCTTCACCCTCATACTTACACTCACACACTCAATTATTCATGCAGAACAAAAGACACTGAAACTTTTCATAAATAGAGTTTGTAGATATCGTAAATGTAAGCATAACGAGAGATTACGTATCTCTTATCCCCTCGATTTTGTCCGTCGTGATGAGTTACATTACCCGCAATCATTACACACTCATTCACGCAGAACAAAAGACACTGAGACCTTCATTAATAGGATTTGTTATGTCAAAGTTGTAGGTTCACCTCTTTTGCCCACGGTTATACCAATCGTGATGAGTGATGATGTACAATTCTCATTTACATATTTTATCTTCCTCTATGAGATGACAATAGTTTCAAGTAGATTCTTGCGGATTGCCACCGTCATTACCCTTATTTACTCTAACATCAATGGTTTGTACCTCGAGAAGATCCGTGAGGATCGCTACTCCCATCTCCCTAACAATTTTCTTGAAAAAAACGGAAATAAATTAAATAACAAACATTAAAAACTGCAAATTAATATAAAAAACACCGGCTGGTAGCACTTAACATCCCTCCCTCTCTGTTGCTTTCTTTTTCTCTTACTGTAGCCCTCACATGTATGATCTAGTTCGTTTATACATGGATATCCGACACGACACTGAAGGAGGTCCGGTTGCATTCAGAGTTGCCTTGGAATACCATGAGACGGACGTCGCCGGATGATCCCCGCAGGCCTGAGGAACAGGAGTTGCTGGTGCAGGTATTAAGCCATCCCAGGATGGAGTGGAAGGGCGCCGCCTGCCAGGACGCCCGTAGACCAAGACACAGGTCTTAGGACGGCTGGATGAGCAGGGAGCCGAGAAGGACCTGGACGAGATCTGCGAGGACCTGTGGACGAATACGCCCCCGAGTAACACTGGACGAGGACTACGAGGAAGTCTGGACGATCCGAAGTCGCGGAGGACCTATGCGAGACCTTCGAGGACATGTGGACGCCAAGGACAGATGGATTCACCGAAGATCAAGAAGAGGCCGATAAGAATGAGCAACACGAGAATGATCAAGGACAAGAACACGAGGACGAGATGACCAGCAGATCGTGTCCGATGATGGGTCACCCTTGAGGCAAATCAAAATACGCCTCGAGGGCAAGGACAAGGCATGAGAAGGTTTCCGAGCAGTAATAACATACTGCATAGCATATTGCATCATGCAAGCTCCATGCTGTTCCAATCTGGCAGTCATTATAGAATGGGAAGCACACCTCACTCCCTCCTCCTTCCGGCAACGCGTCCGGGACATGCAGCTCCGTTGACCTGACATTTCCTGTGCTGAGGGTTCACCTCCAGGACGACCCCGTCAGATCACACAGAGACAGCCTGAGCTGCGCAGTGTGCGGACCTATGTATAGGCCGGGCCACTCCAGAGAAAAGGCCCAGGCGAAGAAAATCTAACTGAACTGAACTGAACCTATGTATATATATGGATATATATGTATGTGTATATATATATATATATATATATATATATATATATATATATATATATATATATATATAGAGAGAGAGAGAGAGAGAGAGAGAGAGAGAGAGAGAGTGTGTGTGTGTGTGTGTATTTTAGTACTCTAATAAATATATACACAATATATGTTTTCTTTCATTATATTCCTCTTACCTTCATGATTTCGATGCCTATAAATACAGAGGAAATGACGACCGTGGCTTTGGAGAGGAACAGGACAAAAGCACCGACGTAGTTAATGGCAGCGACCCTGAAAGCATTGTTGACGAGGAGGGAAAAAGCCTTCTGCGCGGCTTTGCAAAACCCGTAACCGTAGATAGCTGAAGAGATAAGATATGTACACAGTGAACAATATTTATATATATACACATACATGTGAATACATTCAGGTAGATACATAGATGGATTGATAGATAAACATTTATACACACTACCTACTTTAGAATTAGTATTAGTGAAAACCTCTCGCATAGCTGCGAAAACAGAATGTATGGAGCCAATATTTCAATTCAGTAATGTAATTACTTTTAACTAAGCTATCTAATCTTCTGCTTAAAGATCAAGGTCTTTCATGAAGAGGAAAGGCCCAAGTAAATAGACACAGATGC